GTGCCCGTTGTGCCCTTATTATTGGCGCCATACAAAAACATTAAGCATCAAACTTATACAATTCAAGTTTCAGTAAATATCCAACAGTTTGCATATATGAACCTGTCCTAACCTTGGCCTTCTTTCTGCTCATATTAACTGAATATTTGTGTTTTTTCATTGCACTTTTATATAGACCAACATAAATATTAGTTCTTTTATATTTAGTTTCACTTGTTCAAGACTGCACATATAGCATTTTAAGCATCACTGCTATTTTTGGAATATCCTCTTAGCATTATCATCTGCACAAACGTAATCCCTTCATCTCTCTTTCATGTGTTGTTGCCGGGCTAATTTAGGAGCATTCAAATAACTTTTACGTTGCATTATCCTAATACCTGGATTACATTATCCTAATCCCTGCATGTATTGTTTCAAAGGAGACCAACGTTTCTCTCGTGGAGGGAATAGGCTGGAAGAAAGTTTCCTCAGGTTATTTCATTTTGTTATATTTATTTAAAAAATGTAATCAAGTTCTATTGGTAGCAATGCTCACTTTGTAAAGAATCTATAAACGTGTATACATTTTTCTCTGGAACAGATATTTTCAAGAATATAAAAGAAGAGAAAAGACAAGAGACGGTTTAAAATGTTTAATTAAACATCCAGGGAGGCCGGCCGGCCATGTACGTAGAAACAAACACATACACTTAGATTGTATTGAATCTGCTTGTGGCAACTGTGAGAAATTATTAATTGTTCACAAAGACAAACAAGCCGACATGAAAAAAAGAGCGTGGACATATCTCTTTTTGCAGTATTCCTCAACTGTAGGGACTCCAATATATCATACCCTTTATTCAATCGCTGTACACATTTCATACATTGCTACTGGCATCGCAGGGTAGGTTCAGGTTAGAGAGCTTAACATCAGACAAAAAGAACAAGTTATCATTGAGTAATGATTTATGGACTTAAGAATGATGTTTATGATCTGAATCTGTGGTGCGCTGCTAACAAACATTCACTTGATTTCTCTGCACAGTAAATGTACTGATCGTAACTTTTTAAAGTGTGACTGTTGCTTTGAAGAAGTAAATATCATCACATAGGCTCCAGTGTAGGGAATATGAATGCCTGCTGAATAAAACACATTATTTGCACCTCAACCTCCTCCTCATACTGTTGATCGTAATCGATAGTTTCCATTTAAAAAGTAAACATTTCTTGTCAAATAATTCTGTGAATAGATGACCCCACGCCCCCCTCCCTAAGATTTTATAAATAAGAATTCCGCTCCAAAGCAGCAACCCCCCACCACAACTGTGCTTTTCAAGTCAGCACCAGTGTGTTGTGTTAGCTGCAGAATAAATTAACAATAAATAAAATACACAAGAACATGTAGACATCATGGCAGGGTAAGAGTCTCTCGTCTGCGTTTCCCTGTACTATCTACTACACTGGAATTACTTTAAAACATATCTCATAGTGTTGGAAAAGTTTGAACAACAAGTACAGCAGGAGAAGCAAAGACTGAGGAGAGAAATAGGCAACCAACGTGGAAAACAGGCAGTAAGGAAAGCTCTGACATAAGCATGGGTCCAAAAAACAAGGCCAAAAAAAAGGAGCAATCTTGTAGAAAAGGACAAAAGGCTGAAGTTGGCTTCCTGTCGGAGAGTTATGGGGTAACATTTTTCAGACAATTCCCCATTGTGACATTACTGAAAGTTGTGAAACTTGGGGTATACGTCATGCTAAAAGCTTTAACGGTTATAAACCATGTTCTATTGGCAAAGACAGTACAAAACAGCAAAAAGAGGGATTGTATTAGCTGCTCTCCATCTGTATTATATTTGAAATCAGAAGGAGATACAAAAGAAAATTCTAGACTTGATTAATAGAGACTGTTTTAAAGCCACTTTTCAAATTTGTGAAACCTTTTTTTCATCAAACATGGACTAGAATCTAGATCAACATGGAGACTCGGAAATGTCATTGCTTTTGCTACAAAGAAGTAGAGCTTCGAAAACACTCTTTTAAAATGTGTCAACCTGTTCTTAATGAACATGACATCTCTCAAAACTGTTTAAAACATTACCCAAATTGATGAAAATAGAATTAATTTTAACATTATAAATCAGCAATGAAATTGCCTTTTACATTTCTTGCAATTGGTATAATGGTACTCCAAATCTATGTGTGTTCTATCCAAAATAAGACATTCACAATGTTTTTTGGAACCCGTTACATAACTTTAAACAGAGAATTGGTTGAAAAACATGATTCATTTACTTTTTTGAATATTCAAATGAGAAGCCAACTTCATGACCTTGGAAAAAAAGCACAAAAATTAAGGAATGCCATCCTTCCTCTGGCAGCACTGTGAGGGTGGCACACTCCAGTCATACACATAGGACAGTCGAAGTTTGACTTCCTCCTTGCAGAGCTTGCCGTCACGCTGCAGAGTCTGGTGTTTTTCCAACATGTCCTCCAAGCTCTGCTTATGTGTCACCAAGTATTTGTTGTTGCAACCACGCGATTTATACTCTGTGTCAAAGCGTGGGTCATGCGTCCGCCGAACATCCACTGGTGCCAGCCAGGCGCCGAGGGACACATCCTCACTCTGCCACGTCTTAAAGTAGCCCCCGTTAAGGTGCACAAAACGTACCAGGTCCGCCGACAGGATGTAGCCCCCACCCAGTGCGTAGGGCAGGTAGTAGTCACACAGCTCCCAAAAGCTTTCCCGCCACTTCCCAGCAGTTTTCACTCGCCCTCTCCCCGAGAAGAAGCCCCAATATAACCTGTTGGGCTCCTTCCCCTTCAGCTCCTCCTTAAGGAGGTCCAAGCGAGCAAATGTGTCGTCATCTGCTTTGAGAACAAACTTGAACTCCACATTCTGGTCCAGCCAGGAGTACATGTGCAGCAGCTTGAGTGTTAAGTTCTCATAAGAATCTCGCAATTCAGGCAGTAGGAGCAAGTCTTTGTGCCGCCCTTGCTCTGTGTTAAGGTTCTGAAGGTCCTCGCTGGGAAGACCCTGAGTTCCCACCACAAACCTGGCCAGAACGTCAGAGTCCCGCTTGGCCAGCCAGGTGCTGCGGATGATGCTCCTCCGCTCTGTGTACTTAGGTCCGGTCGTGATGAGGACCACGAGGAACGCTGACAAGTGTTTGGATGTGGAAGTGGGGTCATACTGCTCTGGACGGGATTGTAAAGAATTGGCACGAGGGGCCAGGCCTGGAGGATCCTGGTGTCCCTGTGTGAGGGTTTCTGAGGTACATTTGGCCAAGAAGACCAGCACTACTGCAAAGCTGCACACAGTGCCGATGACCAAGGCTGTCTTGTGTCGGCACAGTAGACGTATCAGGTTCATGGTGCTGAGTCAGGGGTAGAAAAACACAAAAATAAATAAGCGTTAATGTAATTCAAAGTATCAGTTAATCACAACCCCCAACGTTTTTGCAAGCGCAATCAAAAACTTGTATTAGTAGGCTGAAAGGGTAAATCACTGTGTTTTAACGTGTTTCTCAATTCAAATATGTCTGAATGATGTGCAGTTATTTATCACACAGCACTAAAACATTTGCCTCAGCTCATTTTGACGGCAGTGCAGACAGACACTACAGACGTAAACAAACATTTATGAGCACCATAAAATATGTGTTATCTAATGTCATAGTAACAAAAGGCATTAAATACATCATTGCACCTTCAATTCCTGTGTTATAGAATTTGGTATGTTTCAATTTTTGCATTTCGTAAACCTCAGCTGCATCCGTCTGACTGACAAGCTTACCGTTAGTAGTTGAACTCTACGCTGCATACACATGTTACAGTAATGTTATAAGCAGTAACACATTAAACAGGAAGTGTTAGTTACCTTAGCTCCTTCAGAAGTACCTGTCCCGTGAACGATAGAGCCGCAGCGACCCACAGATGGTCGTTTTTGCAAGGCTAACGTTAGCTACCGAGATAAGACCCTCTGCGCACTTTCCGAGCTCACTCCATTGAATGCAAACACACACAGGCTGCTCATATTGGGCTAACCCGGTAAAAGCAAACTAAAAAGAGTTTAGAGCCGTCGGTGAGACACGTTACAACAAGCAGTTTAAATATTTCACTGGCTGCGTTGAGTCCAGGTTGAGTCATGTATCGATGTATTAATTTTTTTCTCTGTTTTAAGTTGTGTGGCAGTGACGAAGAGGAAACGGAAGTTAAGCCCCCTGTCAGAGGGGAATTATAATAACACAAAATAAACTCTCATATGGGATTTTTGTCTTGTTTTATTTAGATAATTGTTGTTTTGTTGATATAATGAATTAAATATAACCTAAGAGAAAATGATCTAACTCTAATACTATCTTTTGACATATTTGCCCAGAACGATATGAAGATTTTAATTACATATTTAAAAAAAAATAAGACCATTGACCATGTCATGCACAATCTGAAAATAATTTGTCTAAAGGGAACATTTAGCAAAATAAAGGAGGTGAGCAGTGTGAGGACAGCTGCTTACTGGAGCATGCGCAGTGTTTCCAGTGCTGCAGCGTCAAGTTAGAGCCAAAAGTAAACCGGATGCTATATATGGGTAGATTCAAAAATAAAAGCACATTCAAATTGACTTGTTTTTAAGATAATCATAATAACCCTGCCAAGTTGCTTGATATGTTTGGTCTTCTTTGTGCGGAGGATATATTCACAACGAAACAAGCATAATATATTTAAATTAACATATCTAAATGCACAATGGTAATATGTATGGTGATTTTCAAATGCAATTAATTGTGTTCTTGTATGAAAGTTAGTAGTTAGTATGTTAGTAGGCCTGTGATTCTAGATCTTAAATAACTCATAAATCATTCATTTACAAGCGTTTATAATTGTTTTTCTTCCAGCACTATGCACATATTACTATTTTACTTATATGTATTGCAAAAGGTAAATCATTCTCATGGTTACCCTGACGTTCAAAATGGTTGAGGATATTATTGTGAAATATGCAAGCGGAAGTTGAATGTTTAACTGCGGGCGTGACGCTAACAGATCGCATTAGCTAGAAAAATAATGGCCTCATCGTAGTAAAATACTAGCATGTCGGCTTTATTTGACTTTACATTGAAGACGTCAACATAGCGGACCATGTAATCTGTTATCTTAACATAGTTGTCCTTTACAGAATATATTTGTTTCATTACCTGGCCGGCAGCTCTGTTGCTTGGACGAGGACAGTGGAAAGCAATGACGCTCAGCAGGATCCGCCGACATCCTCTGACATGTCCAGTTTCGCTAGCCATCTTTCTGCTAATATTGAGTGTGCAGCTGGTGAGAGCAGCCTCTGAAAATGACCCCTACAAAATCCTGGGTGTCGGCAGGAGTGCAAGTCAAGCAGAAATCAAAAAGGCATACAAGACCCTCGCAAAGGAATGGTGAGTTACTGAAATGATGTCCCCTAACAGTAGGCCAGCAGCATCTATGGGCTGCAGCAGGTCCCTCAGGTTAACAGCTGCTTTACTGCTACACAGACATGATTACAGACATTTATGAGCCCCAGAAAAATATATCTATTGTGTTGGTGTGCACCTGAACTAGTAATTAGCTTAACCTATCACCAGACAGTACACCTGAGAGTTGTTTTTTAACCCTCTATGACCCAGCACTGATATGATTGTATGCATTGCTTTTTGTTTAGGCATCCAGACAAGAACAAGAGCCCTGGAGCTGAGGACATGTTCATTAAGGTTTCAAAGTCATACGAGGTGGGTAAAAGTGAATCATTACATGTCATCATGTACTCTATATCATAGAAACTCATGCTGGAATCCATAATGACTATGTGGTTCATTCACTCTGTTTCACTTTCTATATCTAATGTTCTTGCTGTTGTTGTCACAGTCCTCTCATATGTGCTTTTCATTGTCTTTTGCACACAGATCCTGTCAAACGAGGAACGAAGGTCCAACTTCGACCGCTATGGGCAGACTGATGATAGCCAGCCATTCGGCCATTCACAGCATCAAGGTTTCCGCGGCTCTCACAACAGCTTCTACTTTGATGAGTCTTTTTTCCATTTCCCCAGGTACAGGTTCAGATTTGTATTGTCTAACATTGAAGTAGTTGTCTCCTGTCTTTTATATAGACTTTCACGTGTTTTTGAAGACACTATTGTTAAAGAGAACCAAACTGGTAAACTTGAAGCCCAGCTGCTTCTTTTTAGAATATTGTCAAAAGCGCTTTTTTTTTTAATTCAAAGCATCAAATATGCTTTAAACCAATTTAGTTTGGTGTGACTTCTTTGTCACTGCTTTTGTCAAGGTAAAAAGTATTTTCTTGTGTCTCTTCTGACAAAACATTTCTTTCTCCACATTCCCATGACTTTGTTTCTAAACGTTTATTTCCCGGCAAGCTGCTCTGTCCACATGGAGTGGTTTCAATTAGTCTCCTCCTTCTGTTTGCTTTGGTTATTGATTATTTTATAAAAGACAAACAGCTATCGTCCTAGATCCCAAACTTTTATTTGAAGCGGTTATTGTACTCATCCTATATTTAGCTAATGAATTGAACAACTGATAAATCAACATAATAGGGATCATCTGCTAGCTCTAACTTCTCATGTGTTAGCTATTCGCCATTTCATGCCATTGTGAAAGGAATACCTTTTGCAATAGTTGCCTGTTAATAATAAATTAAGCCATTAACAAAATATCACATTGATCTCTTTTTAGCTAGGAGTGGAATTTGATTAAGTAAAAGTTGAAATAATTGTTAGTTGCAGACGGTGGTTGAGACTTAAAGGAGAAAAGTAGCAGTCTGTTGACCTAATAAAGAAAAGTCTCACTGTCTTGCCTCCTCCAGGTCCAGGGACTTTGCAGATAGCAAGTACCTGCTTCACCACGCGCAGTTTAACAGCGACGTCCTCCCAGACAGTTACAAGAGGCCGTACCTGATCAAAGTGACCTCTGAGTGGTGCTTTGCATGCATCCACATTGAGCCTGTGTGGAAGGAGGCGGTGCAGGAGCTGGAGCCTCTGGGTAAGTCTGCTGTCACTCCCATCAGTCCGCCCACTGTGCAGGAAGATGCTTGGTTCCTCTAAAAGCATCAGCTCATAATGTTTGCTCAGTAGCAGGCCATTAGATAAATGTGTTTTCAAGGGTTAAGATGATTTACTGGGAGCCAACACTCCCTTCATTTAGTTTTTCTTGCCTAATGGAACAAAGAGTAAAGCCAAAGGAAGGATTTAACCAGATGTAAGAATTGTCTGGCACTGGAGATGATTTTCTAAGTTATTTCGGTGATTCTGCTAATTAGATATACAGTTTCCTGTTCCCTACAGACTTCATCTCATTTGTAGTCTTTAATGGTCAAATCTAAATGCCCTGCCCTAGAAAAATACCCTGCACATTTATGCTCCCAATGCTCTTCACTATGCAAAAGTCACCAGTCTAAACCAGTTGAGTTTTTATTCAGTGAAGATGAATGTTTTAAGATTTATGAAACTAAGCTCAGTACACAATTCTATTTCCAGCTTTTCTTGCTCCGAGTGTTTTTTCTGTGTGTTTGTCATAATAAGCCACATCTCTTACATTAAACAGTAATTCTACCCATTGTTTATATTAAGTTATTGACAAATGCATCGCATGTATATCTCAGATGCAAAGCCTTAGTACAAAATCCCCCTTCAGAGCAATAAGAAAACTTGTTTCAAATCTTTCTGCTCTGGTTTTGTCATTTGCTGTTGTATGGATGCACAGATTCTGCGAGACGCTAAAAAACAGACTTACTGCATTCATCTTTGATGGACCCTTTCCATTAGGCAGCCCCTCACTTATTTCAAAGACTTAAGTAAAAATCCAACAGCTTGCAGTGGTTCTCCTAAAATATTTTCAGTGCGTCTGTTTGGTGAAAGAGAGAAGTCACATGTCTGGTCTGTGTCTGTGTTTCTTTACGGCAACGTTTTAAATCCCTATTTGAACAGCATCCAGTTTGATTTTGCTGAAATATTGGTGCATTTACGGAGACATTTGCCTAAACATAAACATAAATGATCTTAAAGACAATGAGTCTGCGGTTGTATGTTCTGTTTCCATCGTTGAAAATCACTGGATATCGTGGTGTGAAATGAGTTTTATGCAGCATTACCCCTTCATTGTGACAACACTTCCTCTACTGTATCAGTTGCAATAGCAGTCTCTTTTTGCTTTTACACCAGGTGTTGGCATTGGCATCGTGGACCTGGGTTACGAGCGTCGCCTGGCCAACCAACTGGGAGCCCACCGCGCCCCCTCCATCATCGGGCTGGTGAACGGCAGGGTGACCTTCTTCCATCAGGCTGTGATACGGGAGCACCTGCGACAGTTCATTGACGACCTGCTGCCCCATAAACTGGTGGAAAAGGTAAACGCAACAGATGTCAAAATACTGCTACATGTATGTATCCTCAGATTATTTAAATCAGATCTCAGGCATTTTGTTTCTTAGTTTATAGGACGGATTAGCCCTTTTGAATCTCTGCCATAACAGTATTTTACAGAGAAAATGTATGTTTTAAATAAGGCCTAAATGCCTGCCACTGTGGGCCTGGGTCTATCTGCAAGTTCTTATATATCTCAACCTGATTTTTTGCCCGATTCCTAAATCGTTCTAGGCCTGATTATGTAAACATATATTTACAAGTATTACAAGTGAAGTTTCTCAAAATGTGAAGTTTTACAATTGAGCAAAAATACAATGTTTAACTAATTGCCCTTGTTCCCCCAGATCACAGATAACAACTACATTGCTTTTCTGGATAGCTGGCGTGTGGAAAATAAGCCCAGCGTTATTTTGTTTGACCAAGTTCCTGTTGTTCCTCTACTCTATAAAGTAAGCAATGCATTGACGCACACACACATACACACTAATTATTACATGGTTTAGTTGAATACTCGATTCTGATTGGTCAATTCAGAACACGTGACCCGTAATACTACATTTTATTTACAAGGTTGATGTTGTGGTGTGGTTTCCACCAGTACAAAAGACAGCAGATATATTAAACTCCAGCACCAACTATAGAGCCATCTGTGTGAACAGCTCTTTCTCATGTTTCTGTTCACTAAGAACTATTTTCATCTATTACATTCATATACTCTGGAAATATTGTTTGAATTACTTATTATGAATAAATGTGTTAAAAAAAGACGGAGAAAGGGAATAATTCAGGGACAATTATTGGAACAGTGTGAACCAATCAGATGTCTTCTTTTCAACACATTCCTCGACAATGCGATATATATGTTTATCCTCCAGTTAACAGCCTTTGCCTACAAAGACTATGTGCGCTTCGGGTACGTGGACCAGGGTGAGAAACACAACAATCGGCTCCTGCGGCAGTTCAACATCAACACGTACGCTCCCACCATGCTGCTGTTTAAAGAGGATACTGAGAAGCCTGTTGATATCATCCAGGTAATAAAATAAAGAAGTGACCAAATCAGCTGACCATTTTTGTCAATCTGCATTATACTAGTTCTTGCTCTGCACCCTTCACAGTTCACACCCCCTCACTTTCTCTCCTTCAGGCCAGAGGGATGAAGCGACAGATCATGGAGGAGTTTGTCTCCAACAACAAGTTCCTGCAGGTTCCACGGCTGGTCAACCAGCAGCTTTTTGATGAGCTGTGCCCTGTCAAGCAGTTCCACCGACGGAGGAAGTAAGATTTATGTATTTTATATATTTGAGCAGGATCTTAAGCCTTTGGACCTGTATTTAATATTTCTCCTACATTCTTATATCGTTGTATAAATTGTTGTAGAAAGGAAAGGAAAAAGCCAAGCCCAGAATTTGAATTTGAAACATCACAAGAAGCAAAACAGAATTGTCAGACAGGCACTACAGCGGGTGTCACTGAACTGAAACGTTGTGTCTTTAGTCTATTTGCAGCAAGTGAATTGACTGTGAATGCTTTGCAGGTACTGTGTGCTGCTGATCACAGGGGAGGACCAAGCCTTCCTAACAGGCAATAAAGCCTTCCTGGACTTTGCATCGGTCAACAAAAAAGACGTGCTGCGGTTTGCATACGTCTACCAGCGGCAGCAGCAGCCTCTCTGCCAGGCACTGCTCCATAATCACGCTGCACTCTCACCCCAGGTCAGTGGCACAAACGCATACAAAGTGCACACGCACGCATCATTCACATGCTCGTCTTGTATGCAAAGATGCAAAAAAAATCTCCTCATAATCAAATTCATGACACAAAGGAAGAAAATCTGTCTTTCAGTTCATTGAGGACAACGGGTGCTTGCTGTAAAACGTTCTATATCCAGCGTATCCAGAATTGGATATGTGTCGGATTACCGATATGTTCACCCTGAGACTCTGTATACAGTGAAAGTGATTTCTTTTGCCCGCTGACAGGTGGTGATTCTCGAGAGGCGGAGCCAAGCCGGTAAGGTCATGTACCGCTCTGTGAGTGGTGGATGGAACGGCAGCGAGGAAGATAAGTACCGCCTCCACGAACAGCTGGAGATCCTTCAGAAGGACCCCACCTATCTGAGCTCAGACGCCACCCTGCCAGAACTCAACAACGAGATGGCCCCCGTAAGTTTCCACACACACACACACACACACACACACACACACACACACACACACACACACACACACACACACACACACACACACACACACACACACACACACACACACACACCCCTTTAGCGTTGGACCTGAGATGCTGACAGTGGATTCATGTAATTGTTTTCTGTTTAATTTCCCCAGATGTTTATCATTCAGTGGATGAATGCTGCCTCTGATTACGTCCTTCAAGTATATGATGACCTTCTCTACTCAAACTGGTAAGACAACACTCGCCCAGCATTAATGCAAACAAGAGACAGACAGATAAGGTTGTGTACTTTCTGAAATCTATCGGAAGCTTAGTCATGCTTCTGCATCGAGATGCTGCCATAAGATGTACACATGTAGCGTGTCCTGTCATAGCCGCGAGGCACCTTTTTCTTTTGGAAAAGATGACAGGAAGACTACGAGTGTTAATGGTTGATCTGGGCTGCTGTGTGTTTTCTCCTACTTCTTTGGTTAATTACATATTCTCTCCTCAAGGCGAGAGATGATGCCCATCCTGTCGCTGATCTTCTCAGCGCTCTTCATTCTTTTTGGCACCGTCATCATTCAGGCCTTCAGGTGAGAGTTCACCACGACTCTTTTTTTTATTCATTTGAGCATTTGACTTGACAATTCCTTTCATTACAAATATCCTGTACATAACACGTCGACTAAATCTGCAATCGATGTATCTTTATCTTATTTTCTTCTAATTCTGATTGATTATTAGTGGTTTTGAATTCTGTTGAGTCAAATACCTGCTGGATATCATTTCCCTAAGAGTCAGAGCTGTTGGTGTTCACACTAAGGATTTCCTTTTTTGATGCATTTTCAGTGAGCCAGGTGAGAGCACACCCCGGAAACCAAAACCAAAGGAGCAAACGCAGTCCGAGGAAGACGCATCGAGTAGAGCCAGTACTTCAAGGTAATGTAATGAAAGGGAACACGAGATAGACACACAATACAACAGATAGCGGATACTTACTTACTCAGAATACAACTTATAACTGGTAACTAAGGAAAACATTGAACAGTTAAATGCCAGAACGATGTTTCTAAATCTTATTTTGCAGTTAATATATCTTGCTGGCAGGACCCTAGCGTGTCTGAGCCAAACTCCTCTCGATAAAAATAACCTTTAAAGGGACAATTCACCTCAACATTCGATGTACGTATTATTGCTCTTATGTAGTGTCATGGCCTGGCTCTTGGCCATAACAAAGAACGTGGAATGGACACGACATAAGGAAAGATATTTATTAAAATAAACTCAACTTAACTAAAGAGCTACCTCAATGGGATGCGTTAATCAGTAAGATCAGCAGTGTAGGTGTGGGTGTGTGAACATGGTGTGGTGCAAGGTGTTGAATGCCAAAGCAAGATGAAGGTAAACGCATAAATAAGGTAGCTGCTCTCCAAACAAATCCTCCAACAGAGAGAGCGAACAAGACTCTGGCCATTTCTCAATGTCGAGTAGAGCTGCTGCAGAGCCACTATTTCAAGTATACTACGTCATCGAGTGGCGCCGAATGCTGGGCATTTAGCATGCATTTAAACAGTCCTTCAGCGCCACTCGATGACGTAGTATACTTGAAATAGTGGCTCTGCAGCAGGTATACTCGACATTGAGAAACGGCCTCTGGCTCGGGCCTTTTCACTCCTCAGCAACCGGCGGTCAGGTGCCCTCAATCAGTGCTGATGCGGATGAAGGGAGATCGTTAAAGGGACATACACACACAACAGGGGAGAGTAAAGCAGGGGCCGTCACGGTAGTTGTATCGGTGTAGATAAAGAAGACTAAAGAAGCTTCTTCGGCTGAACTGTAAACGCTTTAATAGACAAACACGACATATAGTTTAGATTGTTTTCTTTTTCCTCCCTGTATTCTTCCCTCACTCCTTCTTTCTCATTGGCCGCTGCAGCCGTCCTCCTAAGAAGGACTTTGTGGAAGTGACGGAGCTGACGGACATCACGTACATCAGCAACCTGGTGAAGCTGAGGCCCGGCCACATCAACGTTGTGCTGGTGCTCACCAACGCCTCCAAGAATGCCCTGCTCAGGAAATATGCCAAGGAGGTTTTTTCTTTCTCTGGGTAAGTCTCCTCACTACAGTTTTTAACTTTCTATTATTCTTAGTTTTTTTTTAGAGTTTATTCATTTAAAAACAAAGGAAGCCTTCCAAATGCAGTCTGTAACTGAGCACTGAATGTGGTTAAAACAACTATAAATGTTGTGTCTACTTGTCTCACCGATGTTTAAGTAACTTGCCTTTGAATAATGTTACTAAGTGTATATATTGATTAAAAAAGAAAAGAAAGTTGTCCACTAAGGTGCCAATATTGCATATTTATCACTTGGTCCAGTTAATAATCCTAAACCCCTCTGCCACTACAGGACTCAGACGCTCCACTTCTCCTTCCTTAACGGTGATAAGCACCGCCACTGGATGCCATCGCTCCTTCGCTCGACATCTGACACCATGCCGAGTCATTCGGACGAGGATGAGGAGTCTCCAGACTACGCCGGCCACGTCCTGGCCCTCAACGGCCACAAGAAATACTTTTGCCTCTTTAGACCCGTCTTCACCGGAGACGATCCCAACGACTCGGCGTCTGACACCTCGTCCTCTGAGAGCAGGAGGAAGTCCCGGTCCAGGTCCAGGTCCAGCTCCCACTCTCGGTCCAGGTCCCATTCCAGGGAGGATGGGGCCGTACCCAAGAGGGGCTCAAACAGGGCCACCACCATAGAAGTGCACCACAAGCTGGACAGACTGGGACTGTGGATGGAGAGGCTGATGGAGGGGACCCTCCCCCGGTTACAGGTCACCGCATGGCCCTCTCTTGGCGAAACCAATAACTCCTCCGCAGAGAGCTGAGTTTAAAGTTACAAAGGTCAAATGGTAGCGCACACACGCCTGATGAGGGTCTTCAGCAAGAAAACTGCAGAACAATGTTGCAGTTTTCAAATCATATTTTAGGTTCTGTTTCACAAAAGTATGTCGTCAAACTAAGCTGTCGCGAGCTTTTTACAGACGGTTTTATTTGATCTGCTAAACAGTTTGAAGCAGATCAAAATGTATGGTTTAGAGAGAGTAGTGTGCTACCACAAACCTTTAACACGCGCATGAGGCAAAGGTTAAGAGTTTGCTGCATGAAGCGGCTTCATGTCTTAAGTACAAGGCAAAGGGAGGGAAAAGAAGAGACTATAGGAAAAATCAATACCTATTACACACACACACACACACACACACACACACACACACACACACACACACACACACACACACACACACAACACAACCACACCACACACACACACTCCAGAAAGCCTCATCGGTTAATAGCCTAGCTGTGGTGTCCTGTATGTACGTATGTATTGTGGACACATTAACCTTTGGTTCCCAGTGTTTTTCCCCCTTTTTCTCCTCTCGTCTCACTACATTCATTAGATCAAATCTAGCAGCTTTGGAATTAGTGCAATTATTTTTGCTCTACTTTGTTATCTTTGGACAGCAAGAGACTCTAAACTTGACACGAGCCTGACCACATTTTCAAAGCTTGAGAGCCGTCTATCATGAAGTATTTACTTCTGACAGTAGTGGAAGCAGGTTAATACGAATAGAGCTTGGACACTAAGCCTGATGCAGCTGAATTAATAACATATATTTTTTGTTTTTAGATTTCTTGTTCTGTTTTTTTAAACTTTTAGGACCTTTCAGTTTGAGATTATTGTTGATTTATCCAATTGCCGTTGTTGATCCTGACAGAAACTTTTTTTATTCCCAAGCATCAAGACATAGAGAATAGAGCTTTGTTAGCCAGCAATAATTACGTAGTCACATAACACTATCTACATGTTCATCTACAAAAAGAGCCTTTATAATTAAAATAACATATTTTATTCCTGATGATTTCTGCTCAGAGGCCACGTTTGCCCATGTCCTGCTGTGCTGGCGCCTGTTGTAGGGATTTCATATTTAACATGCGTGTCTGCCAAGTTTGAATTCTGATAAAGTTGATGAATATGATTTTTGAGTGGGTAGTACCCAAAATTAAATCTGCCTTTTTGTCTTTTAGCTGTTTTAATTTTGGGCTGGCGGTTTACCTTTTTTAATAAAAAATCTCTCCTGAATCAGGAGGGGCAATGATAAATCCCATTTTATTATAATTCGCCCTTTTTAAGGCTGTGCCCTTATAAACCACTGTAAATGTCAATGCATGGAAGTATGTAGACCTGAAGTATCACAGAACAAAATGTAAGTGAATTTGCACTGGGAGGCTTCAACCCGTTCCCCTGTGTCTCTCTTCCCCTCTTGTACTCTGTAATTGAGAATAACTGGGCGCTAAACACAGTTAATATATTTGCATACACTGTAAGCTCAGTACACTGTATACCTCATCGTGTGTCCCTGTTTGACCGTTGCATTTGGTGTGTAATCCATCTCGTAAGAAATGAAGTTTTGTAAAATTATTTAAGAAGAAATGCCTTTTAAAACATTTTTATTTATTAAAATGTGTGGAGTATGATACATAACTGTTGCTTAATTCCTTCCTGTATATTAAAGAAATGTTTGGTTATCTACAGCAGAAGGCAGAAGAGGGGGCGCACTTATGTATGTACCAAGGCACAATGGATTCTTCCAGTGATACTAGATTGTTGAATAATAATAGTATATACGAAGGCATACAATCATTTTGACTAGCTAAACAATCGATGTGGAGCTAGGTGAAGGCAATCGAGCACGATCAGCTAAAAGAACAAGAGTATGTATCCATTGAGAAGGGTAGACAGGGTACTGGGGGGTGCGTTACACATGGAATGAACATTTTCGAGCAGCAGT